CTAAAGCATGTTCATATTTTAAAACAGTAATACCTATGGGTTCTGGCCCTTTCCTATAATCCCAGGACTTCCTATATTCCTAGTACTTGGAGGCTGAGGCAAGAGGATCATGAATTTGAGGCCAGCAACTACACAGGGAATTCATTGCTATTCTTAGCTATTTAGCAAAACTCTGTCTAAAAATACCAGAGGCTGAGGATGATGGTTTTGTAGTAGACCACTTGACTTGCATGCACAAGGCCCCATTCCTGTAAATAACACAAAACCAAGGAGAACAAAACTTCCTCAACTGGGTTAAGAGCATATGCAGAAACTTGTATCTGACTTTATACATAGACATGAAAAATTTCTTATAAGGTCAGGAACAAAGCAAACATCTGCTGTTACCACTCTTTTTAATCTTTTAAACAATAGGGATTTATTTCTCATTGTTCTAGAGGCTTGAATTCAATAGAAGAAAGCTTCCAGCAATCTTCTCCATAGTGGAAAGAGAAAACTGTTCTTTTCAACATTGTGTGACACTAATTGCTTTCATGTAGGTGCTACTGTCATGACCTAATCGCATTCCCACAGCCCTTTCTCCTAATACCAACACATTGGAGAATGTTTTGTTGTGAAATTTGAAGGGAATGGAAATATTTAGGCCATAGAAATCATATGCCATTTAGTCCTGTAGTTGAATAAGTTTAGGAATAGCTGATTGAGATCTTATTTCTATTTATTTTATGTGTGTGTGTGTTTAGTTGTGCAAAGGAGTTACCTTTGAACACAGCAGTTACCACTCTCAATCAGTGTACTGCAAGGAATTCTATCCAGAGCAACAAGACAAAGGACAAATAAATTGACAAAGAAGAGAAGACTGTAGCTGTTTCTGTTTTCAACTTTGTTCTAACTTGAAAAACCCAAAGAACCAAAGAAAAAATAGCTAATATTCATGACTATAACAAGGTGGAAGAATGAACTTATAGATACCAAAATTAGAAGAAATTCATTAAGATTTTTGTGGTAAAGTCAAGATTCTTCTAAAATTTGTAAGGGAAAGCAAAAAATAAAATACTTCCTTGATTTCTCTCCTTGAAGTGAGAGAAATGAATCTAGGTAATAGCAAGTCTTATAAACTAACACTGATGAATGGTAATCTAATAAAATTTTTAGTACAAAATATTGTAGAAGAACAGTGTGTTTAAATATAGAACATAGTAATAAAGTTTTAAAAATCAAAATGTCTTATAAACCTACAGTTAGCAAGACTAATTGGTATTAATAGAGGGATAGGCATGTTAATCAATGGATGAGAATAGAGTGCAGAAATAGACCTGCAAAAAATTTGACAAAATAACAAAATCGATTGAGAAGTTGGCTTTGTGTTAAGTAAATATCCATAGACCACCCTCCACAAAAAGAAAAAGGAGATTTTGAGTTGTCACCTTTGTTATGAAAATTGTCGTTGTATTTTATATGAAGTACACTATGTAGTTAAATGTAGATCTATAAAACTTAGAAAAAAATAGGGAAAAGTTTTTACAGTCTATGCGTAATCAGAGAGTACTTAGATGGTAACCATAGAAGGAAAAGTTTATTAATTGGATTGCATCAGAATTTCACACTTGCACTGTGATAAAGATCTTTATGAAAACACATCAAGATAGAGTGAGAGAAACATTTCAAACCACACATCTAACAATGGAGTATAATGAGAATACATACCTTTTAAAACTGAGTGGTTAAAACGTCCCCAAGCAGTACAATGAGGAATTTAGCAAAACAAGTCTGGAGAAACAATTAGGCATATATACACCTGGCAAATAAGTAGATGAAATGATATTCAATATAATTCTGTATTCATTGGAGAAATCACATTAAAGCTACACTGAACTAAATGTATACACATTTCACAATAGTGACGTTGCAAAAGGCTAGCCCATGTTCTAGTGGCTTGTGAAATGTAGAATGCTATTAACCACGCATTTGGTAGTTTCCTAAAGACTAAGCATGTGTCTTCCATGTAACTTAGCAAAGTATTATTCCTGGCCAATTTATTTCAGAGAAATGAAAACTGAGGTGAGTAAATAAACAGTGAGATATTGGCAAATATAGAATCCTGAATGAATCTTCAGTGGTTTATATTGAGTGAAATAAAGGAACCTGAGAAGGTAACCTACTAAATAATTTCATTTTGTAATGTTCTTAAGCTGACAAAATTGTAGAAGTAGAGAGATTAGTGGTTATCAGTGCATCTTGATTCTTACAATATCTATATCCTGTATCATCTTATCCAGTACCTGTGATATTCAATACCATTTCCTAAATATACCATTGGTAAACTAGGTGAAAGGCACGTGAGATTTTTCTGTATTTTAGTTGACAATAGTATGTGGATGTTTAATTCTTTCTTTTCTTTTCTTTTTTTTTTTTTTGTTGGTCGTGGGGCTTGAACTCTGGGCCTGAGCGCTGTCCCTCAGCTCTTCAGCTCAAGGCTAGCTCTCTACCACTTGAGCTACAGTGCCACTTACGGTTTTCTTGTGGTTTTATTGGAGATTAGCATTTCATGAACTTTCCTGCCTGGGGCTGGCTTTGAACCGCAATCCTCAGATCTCAGTCTCCTGAGTAGTTAGGATTACAGGTGTGAGCCACCTGCTAATTCTTTCATAATAAATAATAGTAGATGATGCAGCAACGATTTTATCCCATTTTTGTTGTTTGTTTTTGTCTTATGTTATTATTTGTCAGGTGTAGACCTAATATTACTAGTTGTTTTAAAATATTCTGCCTGTTTTTCTGAATATCTAAATTGCAGTAAGTCAGAATAATTTATTCTTAGATTCTATTTTTTTGTTTCTGTACAGCATCTGTTATGGGGGCTGGAAATAGATTTGTTTATATAAAATTTCCCCAATCCTTACTTAAATATACAAAGATGGCTGTGTTTGTGTGTGTGTGTGTGCGCGCGCGTGTGTGCGTGTGTGCACACATGTGCTCACGCGAATTGAGTTCATTGGTATATGTGAGTTCATTTGTGTATGTGTGCATTTCTATTAGCTTATATGTGTGCATATGCATTTGTGTACCATACACATGTATATGGTAACTGTGACTTTGAACTGTAGAGAGGAACCATGTGTCTTTAATAAAATATTCACTGCATACATTTATGTACTATAAAAAATAACTTGTATAAGTCAGTTTATAAAGTATTTCAGCTGAACCTCTGATTTTTGTGTTTTTATAGCATTAAACTTCCTTGTATACATGGGAAGTCACTTAGAAGCTGTATGCCTAGAATGTTTTCTACAAAATGCTTACACTATTCCTTCCTCTAGGTCCCTATCTTTCATTCTGAGGACAACAATCTTTCATTGTCTGCATCAATTTGTAAGATGATGCATTATTTTTATTTATGTTTTTCAAAGCCACATTTCCCTATTAGCTCTTTAATCATTGTTCAGAGACCTATCCATTTTGGCAGCATGAAACAGATTGGAGAATTATCTGGGAAACTGAACTTTCAAATAGTGAAATGCCTTAGCTATTTAGAAGATTGTCAGTTCTAAGTTAGGTTCTAGGAAACATTCCTCAAAAATTGTCAGTATGAAATAGGGCATTTAATAGTAACTTTGGAAAGCTAGCAACTTGGGGAATAGTTCTTTGTAGAAAATGCAGAAAGTCCCAATTTTCTTAACTCTACTTAAAGGAATGACTGTCATTGTTTATCATGTGTAGGCAATTCTCTCAATAATTTTTGGTGTCTCTCATAGCTGGACAAGTAATTTGACTCACTTCCTTGTCACAATCCCTTAGTAGTCCCTGGTACGTTAGATATCACTGAATGGAGCAATGGAATTTGGGAGGTGTATATTTTAAATTATAGTTTTTTAGTACCATAATTTGTTTTTTAATTATGTTAAGAGTTAGGTTATGTTAAAATTTTCTTGTTAATGACTACAAATTTATTGAATTGCATTCTTTAAATAATCAGTGTAAAAGGTGCACAGATTATTTGGGGGTAATGTTTCTCTAACAAAAAGACACTTATCTTAAAAAGTGAAATTCAAATCTTTCCCTGATCAATTGCCCTAATCATAGAGGAAGTCTGCGTTTTTGTCCTAGCCAAGTAAGTAAGTTGTAATTTTAAACAGTTTGGTTTACTAAGCATGATTAAGACACCATTCCCTTTGAGGTTTACCCTTTCACTTTAAGGTACAACTGTTTATCATCTTGGGTCAAAGGTTATAAAAAGTAGTCATCAATTAAAGCTTTATTGCTTGTAATTGCTAATGCTATGAAAGGAGCCAGCTGAACTGGATCTGATAATAAAAGACTCTTTGTTAAAATATTTAATAAATTAACACTCTGTCTTGGAAGCGGGAAGCTAATTACAAAGGCCAAGATTGTTAATCATAATGTTTACTTTCTTCAAAAGCACAGACTCAACTGCTCCATAATCATTAGACATCAGATTTCTTTCTTGCTCTGATTTTCAATCCTACACACTGTGTCAGTCCCCGGAGGGGATGCTCTTCTGTAGTTCATGCTTGGGTATGGCAGGCGGAGGAAATGCCAAGACAAACACAGGTTATAGGGCCATCTTCAAAATAAACAGGACTCTGTTAGAACGTCAGACTGCCTCTGCTCTTTTCAAAAAAGGTCAGAAGTTTATGTAGATTCATTGTGGTAGGCTAATTGAGTGAAACTAAGAATTGGGGGCATTGGGAAGTAGTGATATTTTTTTATAATAAATTACTAGTTCAATTATTCTTCCCACAGATAGTTTATTCTTCAAAGTATTTTAACAATGTTGTGGTCCTTGAAATGCAGACACTTTGCACAGCTCTAATATGTAGGTACTGGGGCTGTATACATACCTCCATGACTCCCAAATGACCTTACAATGGGAACTCTGAATGGGTGTTTGCATCTGGGAATTGAATGTTTCTAGATTTAAGCAATAGGGGGCATCCTGGGATTGTTCTTTACACATGTTTCTGCATTCTGATCTTTAGGGCAGCTCTAATGAAAGAAAGTCCTGCTTTGGGCCTGCTGTGCAAATTAGCCATATGGTGAAGTGTGATATCCCGCTGAACATCATTATGGGGCCCTGTGAAAAGTACTACCCTTTACACATGGAAGCAAATTAAAATAGCCCTTTCAGTTTTTTCTTTTAAACTCTGAATAAACCTGTCTTCACTTGGGTACTGTGATAGTTAAAAGGTAGTTCCAGCTGCAGTCAGGGTGGTGAAATTACAGACTTCATCCAAGACCAAATGGAAATATTGCTTCCTGTAGGCAAAGCCGGAAGAACAATAGTGTGTGCTTCCCTTTTTCCATTGCCCTCCCTAGTTCTTTGTCTACATGTTCTCTACTTCACAATCTAAGGTTATTTTCTGCCTTGTGGTCAGTGAGAAGGACTCAGCACATTCTCCTATAGACCACATGCCAATCAATATCTGCCAGGAAAGAAGTACTATGAAGATCTGTTGAGCCAGATAATGGCATTATAAATACTTCATGGAGAGGATGTGAAGTTTGTCCTTTGTCTGTGTGTAGATGTATGGCCCTTATGCGGAAGCATCCTGATGTAAATTTTGTTTTTCTCTGCATAACAAGGCATGAAGATGCCACTAATGTTTAGAGATACAAGACTTAGTAATCCTATGGTGGATTCAGAGTGTGTGTGCTGTCCCTTCGGATCTTCGGGGATTGCTTTCAGGGCTGGTTGAAACCAGTCTGAATGCTTAGGTTCCCTACATAACAGGGCATAGAATTTGCATGTAATCTGCACACATCCTCCGTAATTTTAAATCATTTCTAGATTAGTTTTCAAGGAGTGAAATATTTTATAAGGGAGCACACTAAAAATTAAGTTACTCTCTTCAAGTGATGTGATTATGAATTTCTTTTATATTCTCTTTGCTCAATTACAGCTTACATATTTGACTTTTGTAATTAATACCTTAAAAGGAGAAAAAAGTCATGGGAGACAGCCACTAGCAAAAGATTAAAAATTTTTTTGTTCTTTAAAGGCCAGAGCTGGTGGCTCACATTTGAAATACTCAAAAGGCTGAGATCTGAAGACTATGGTTTGAAGCCAGCCAGGAAAGTCTGCATGAGACTCTATCTCTAATTAACTAGCAAAAAAGCTGGAAGTAGAACTATGACTCAATTGCTAGAGCACTAGCCTTGAGTAAAAAAGGTCAGAGGCAACGCCCAAGCCCTGAGTTCAAGACCCAGGACTGTCACCACATTATTTCAAGCATATTGTATAGTACATTTTAGGGTTGAGACTAATGATTAGACTTAGGATATGATCACTGACATTCTTAAGTTTATCATTGAAATGATATAACAATGCATATTCAAATAAAATACAAATTTGGTAAATAAAGTACCCAGTGAATTGAAAAAGAATATTTTTCTCTTGTTTAGGAGGTAAATAATAATATAATACCGGTGTGGTCATTTAGTTCTTATATAAATTTCTCTATACCTACATGATAAAAAGTTTTTTTGAGATATGTTTATTATAATACAGACAAGTTAAATAAAATATTTATTTTGCGAGGGATGTACACATTTAAGTCATCCTTAACTTTTACCAAAATGCATTAGCTGCATAAAAATATGAATGCTTGTAATATTGATAAATAAGACTGATAATTAACTTTTTGTTTCTGTTGGATGAGTTGAATAGATTAAAAAATCTGTTTTTTGAATGATATATCTGTTGCTGTGTTCTATGAACAAACTTTATAAGACAGAATGCACTGTATCCCTTTCCTTTTGTATGAAAAGACAGTTTCACATGGAAAAATAAAATTCTGGCTTGAACATGTAAGTCTGAATTGATGAATATGTGACTGAGTATCATAGTCCATTTATATTGTTATAACAACATAAATCACAGACTGCATAATTTATTTCTCATGGGTCTGGAACCTGGGTAGTGCAAGGTCCAGGCCATGGCAGGTTCAGTTGATGATGACCAAGGTTTTTTGTTTTTGTTTTGGCTACATGTTCCAGAGAAGAGTGCTGTGTTCTGTGGAGGCAACAGAGCTGTAAGGAGGCAAACCCACTCCTTCAAGCCCTTTTAGGATTTAATCCAATCTTTGAGGGCTCTTCTCTCATTTTTATGGTTACGCTTCAATATTTGCATTTTGAGGGACTCATTCTGATTACAACATTTGGGGATCTCTGTGGCTCATTGATTTTCCTTTCCAAATCTGCTAGAGTATGGGGCTAGAGGAAAAAGGTGCTGCTGGTAGCAGCACATACTCTAGGAAGTCACTGAGAACCTTGAGTTTGTGAATACTGAATCATTGCTAGAGGAAATGTATGGTTCGTTTCCTTTGAGTTTCTGGTCACATTTTCCATTAAGCAATTATGTGTTTATGTTTACAATATTTTATTTAATATATTGTTGACTTATTAACATGGAACTTAGCCAACAGGACTCTACTAAAGTTTGCAGCTCATGTAACACAGAATTTTTCTGTAAGTCACATCACAAACCTTTTCGAACTTAGGAGCACTGGGTAGCATTTTAGTGCTATAGTTGGGGTCTATTTTAAGTAGCAAAATCAACAAAAAGCACAAAAATGTAAAAAACGTGGTATTGGGTAGACTGAAAATGATACTTGTTTGCAGTGTGAAAACAAGCAAGGCAGAGGGTTGCCTTGCTTGACCTTAATTGGGAATGAGTATATTGGACAACTTAAAATTTTTGAAATTCTGCACATCTGTGAATGACTGAAAGAATGTTCAGTATTGATTTTAGAGTTACAAATAGCTGTTAGAAAGTAGACAAATTTGTAAATACAGTTTGTGAATAATGCAGATCAACTGTATATCTTTCCCTTGTGTTTCCTTTCTTATTAAATGATACCATAAAATCATTTACTCACATTAGCAACAGTACATATGCTTCTTTCCTTTCTATATCTTATGTCTATATTCCATCAGTTACCAGGAGGTAACTGTCTCAGTCTCATTGATACTTTTGAACCTAATTTTTTTCTTTCTGTATTCTGTTTGCTGTTTTATAATGTCTAAAATGTCCAAAACTCTTGTCCTTAGAACAGATGGCTAAATAATTTACAAAGTCTTTCAGTCTTATTATGATTATTCTTGTTATCCCTGTACTTCACACCCTGAAGTTTCATCAATGGGAATGTCTTTCTAATTCTAGAACATGTAAGATCTTTTTCCTTGGAATCTGTCTCTTCTAGGAGTGTTCTTTCCCTTTCTCTCTGCTCAGTTGATTCTTCTGACTTATTTTACGTTTAAGAGTTTAAATGCTATCTCTTTTTCCTGAAAAGATTTTCTGATGTCTGTTCAGTCAGTGAACACCTCCTCACCCACGGATCCTATACCAATCCATAGGATTTTGTAGCTCATTGTATTATAGTTATTCATTATAGTATATATTGCTGGTTTACTTATTAGTCTTTAATTCTTAAGTAAAATTGAATCTTAAATGATATTAAATTTGTTGAATTTGGTCTTAAGTGGTGAGTAAAACAAACTTTCATTGGCCTATTGTTTTATATTTATATCTTCAGCACTTTTTATTCTAATATTAATGATTGTGGGTGATTGAAGTCTAGCCTCTCTGTTTCATCTGTTTTTCTTTTTTTGTTTATTATTTATTTATTTTTTGTGCTGGTCCTGGCATTTGAACTCAGGGTCTACGCACTGTCTCTGAGCTTTGTTACTCAAAGCTAGTACTCTAATTTGAGCCACAGCTCCACCTCTAGGTTTTTGGTAATTAAATGCAGATAAGAGTCTCATGGACTTTCTTGCCTAGACTGGCTTTGAACTGTGATCCTCAGATCTCAGCCTCCTGAGTAGCTAGGCCCAACAGTGCCTGGCAATTACCCTGATCAAAATGTCTGCTTCTCAAATTCTGTCTTTATGCTTCTATTCTACAAAATTGGCAGAGGGACTAGAATAATCAAAGGTTAATTTATTTAGCAGACCCAAGGGAAAATCCAACTTGGTTTTGTAAATGTGGAAGCCAGACTTATTAGATAATTTTGTCCCTGCTTTTGTTTTTATTCTATAGAAGGAATACTTGAACAGCAAAACTATTTCCAGCTTAGAATTAAGGTTCATGACTTGGTTTTTATACTGAATTTTGACATATATTTTCTATCATTTACAACAACAACAACAAAAATAGTATCTTAAGGTCTAATTAGAAAGAAGACCTTCCCTAAACTCTCAGGTAAGTGTATCTTGGCTACAAACATGTTGAACATGTAATATCACACTATAATAATAAAGGTCCTTTAGGACTGTTAACCTTAAAATGAAAAGCCCTTCAGTGTGTACAGAATGTACTTGACATTTAATAATACCACTATGTTTTGAAATAGTGACAAGTGTGGAATATCTTTAACAAACCAAATAAAGGTTTCCATGTATTGCTTAAATAGAATCATTTACTTCCTCATTAATGTATGGGTGAAGAAAGACCTGAAAGACCTGTCCTACTATTTTGATTTCCTCTTATATGCAGAAAAATGTGTATACAATTATAATCTTTTTTTCTTTGCATTTTAAGACTTCTGTTTTTAAACTGCTCTAGGGCCTAACAATCCATGAACTATGGATAAAAGTCCAACATGCTGCTTGTGTTGTCAGGCTGACCTCTAAACTAAAACTGGTTTTACCTTTTTAAAACTTAAAAAGAATAATATTTTATGACAGGTGAAAATTAGATGAAATTTGAAATTCAGTTTCTACAAATAAGGTTTATTGGAACACAGCCATACTCACTCATTTTATATATTGTTGGCTTTTGCATCACAGCAACAGAGTAGACTAGCTGCCCACCAACCTAAAGTTTACTACACTTTACCAGTTCTTGAGATGTATTAGTGTGTTTGCATGATTTAGTACCTTAAGTCAATTTTCTCATTTGAAAGCCTGTTTAGTAATGTAACAAAGACTTCACTTGAAGTGAAGTGGAAGAAATTGAACTAGATTACTACATGAGCTAGATTCTGCTAGTGGTGGACAGTGCTTTCATTTTTATCATTAATTTCATTTTATAAGATAAATACTTGCAAAATGCTTATCATTTACCAGATAGACATTTCTCTGGCAGCTTAAGAAATCTTGTAAATCCTTAGAACAACCATATGAAGTTGCATCTCTACAAATGAGAAAACCACAGCACCAGTATAAGTGAAAGTTAAACAAATAGTGGGACTTAAATTAGTGGAAGGGAATTTATATACAGCTATTTTTTAGCAGTTATAAAGGACAAAGTCACAATTTGAATGTATTTGTTTGATTCCCAAACCCCAGTGCTTTTACCTCTGTGTTATGCTGTGTTTCCTTTTTGCTTATGAAGATCATTTAATCATAACCAGGGTATGCTATTTTACATTTTAGAGCTAGTATTAGTGTTGTACAGCTACTATACCAAAGCACTACAAACAACATGTCTTTAAAAAACAAATTAATGTGTCCCAGTTCTGGAGTTTTAGGGCTTTAACTCAGGGCCTAGAATTGGTCCCTTAGGTTTTTTTGCTCAAGGCTAGCATTCTACCATTTGAGCTACAACTTCACTTTCAGTGTTTGATGGTTAATTGGAGGTAAGAATCTCACCAACTTGCCTACCCAGGCTCACTTTGAACCAGGGTTACAAGATCTCAGCTTCCTGAGTAGCTATGATTATATAAGTATGAACCACTGGTACTCAGCTCTAGTTCTAGAGTCTTGAAATTCAAATTCAAGGTGCCAGAAAAACAATGCTCCCCTCAAAACTGAGTTGATTCCTTCTTTATCTCCTTGTGATTTGTCTTAGTGACTAGTAATCCTTGGTTTTCTTTGGCTTGCAGTCTCTGCCTCCATCATGTGGTCTTCTCCTTGTGTGTGTCTGTCCTTGAGTCTTTTTTTCTCCTCTTTTACTGAAGGATACAAGTGACACTGTATTAATGTACACCTGACACTAGGTAATTAGCCTGCAGTGGTGCTATTTTCATTGTAGGTTGCTTAACTCATGTGGGAAGAACATGAATTTTGGGGAGATATTTTGACTATAATGCTCTTGAGTTTTGAATTTATCAGCCTGATACTGTTCTCTGAGCGTCTTTCATACTGGTCTCATAAATCTTATTCTGTAGGCAGAATATGAAGGAATCTGTTTCTTGTTTTTGGAGTTTAGTTCTGTCCCAGACATCTAGAAAGATGGATCCCCCTTTGTTTGGCCCTTTCCTTATGATTCATTTGAAGCCTGGTTTTCATCCTGGCAATTTTCTTCTGGAGTATTCTACAATATTTTAAGGAAAATTTTCTGTTACAATAACCTATAGGATGGTTGTATGCCTTCATCTTTCTGAATTTGTGATAACTGATTCAGGATATAGCTTTGTGGAGCTAGTGATTAAGGTCTGATAATTTCATCACAAAGAATTTATATATCCTTCCTTATGATGTTTGTAATGTCCAGTAAGTGGTAGCAGTTATTTTTATTTTCTTTATTATTGTTATTATTATTAAAACAATGGATTTTTGTTTTTGCCAGTCCTGGAACTTGAACTCAGGGCCTGGGTACTGTTGCTGAACAACATTTGCTCAAGGCTAGCTATCTTGGGCCACAGTGTCGCTTCCAATTTATTCAGTGATTTGTTGGAATTAAGAGTCTTACCATCGGGCCTGGGAAGGTGGCTCAGTGGTAGAGCGCTTGCCTTGCATGCTCGAGGCCCTGGGTTCGATTCCTCAGCACCACATAAGCAAAAAGAAAAAA